TACATCCTCCCAGTTTGCAGTAAACCACTGATAACTACTCTGAGTATGATCTTTCAAGCAGAGAACAGAATTGGGCCCAAAGTGTCCAGGTTGTTTAGCTGAAATAGAAAGTTGTGACCTCTAGTCCAGTAACAGAGTGCTTCCTAACAAATCATGTCAAACCAATCTGATAGCTTTCTTTGATAGGATAACGAGTCTTGTGGATAAGGGAGAAGCTGTGGATGTGGTATACCTAGACTTTAGTAAGGCATTTGATACGGTCTCGCATAATATTCTTATCGATAAACTAGGCAAATACAATTTAGATGGGGCTACTATAAGGTGGGTGCATAACTGGCTGGATAACTGTACTCAGAGAGTTGTTATTAATGATTCCCAATCCTGCTGGAAAGGCATAACGAGTGGGGTTCCGCAGGGGTCTGTTTTGGGACCGGCTCTGTTCAATATCTTCATTAACGACTTAGATATTGGCATAGAAAGTACGTCTATTAAGTTTGCGGATGATACCAAACTGGGAGGGATTGCAACTGCTTTGGAGGACAGGGTCATAATTCAAAATGATCTGGACAAATTGGAGAAATGATCCGAGTTAAACAGGATGAAGTTTAACAAAGACAAATGCAAAGTGCTCCACTTAGGAAGAAAAAAACAGTTTCACACATACAGAATGGGAAGAGACTGTCTAGGAAGGAGTACAGCAGAAAGGGATCTAGGGGTTATAGTGGACCACAAGCTAAATATGAGTCAACAGTGTGATGCTGTTGCAAAAAAAGCAAACATGATTCTGGGATGTATTAACAGGTGTGTTGTGAGCAAGACACGAGAAGTCATTCTTCCGCTCTACTCTGCTCTGGTTAGGCCTCAGCTGGAGTATTGTGTCCAGTTCTGGGCACCGCATTTCAAGAAAGATGTGGAGAAATTGGAAAGGGTCCAGAGAAGAGCAACAAGAATGATTAACGGTCTTGAGAACACGACCTATGAAGGAAGGCTGAAAGAATTGGGTTTGTTTAGTTTGGAAAAGAGAAGACTGAGAGGGGACATGATAGCAGTTTTCAGGTATCTAAAAGGGTGTCATAAGGAGGAGGAAGAAAACTTGTTCACCTTAGCCTCTAAGGATACAACAAGAAACAATGGGCTTAAACTGCAGAAAGGGAGGTCTAGGTTGGACATTAGGAAAAAGTTCCTAACTGTCAGGGTGGTTAAACACTGGAATAAATTGCCTAGGGAGGTTGTGGAATCTCCATCTCTGGAGATGTTTAAGAGTAGGTTAGATAAATGTCTATCAGGGATGGTCTAGACAGTATTTGGTCCTGCCATGCAGGCAGGGGACTGGACTCGATGACCTCTCGAGGTCCCTTCCAGTCCTAGAATCTATGAATCTATGAATATTGATCTATGGTTGGGAATGCCCAGCACTGGGGAGTCAGGAACTGATCCAAAGCCTTTGAAGTCAATAGAAAGACTTTCACAGACTTCAAATGGGCTTTGGATCAGGCTCTCATTTGATCAATGAGTAGCCCATATCTAAGATAGGTCCCTATAACTAAGCAATTAGGGGCAACAAGGTATGAAGGTGCTGTTTAAAGGGTCACTGATTGATTTACAGTAGGTCCAAAACTTAAGTTTTGCAAAACCCAGGGTATAACATTTTAAAACAATAGAAAGGTGTCTAATGTTTTTAAAATTCTAATAATATTTTTGTTTCAAGTTTAACATTCCCCTGCAGTATTTGCAATCTAAATATTGCAGCATGTGCTAACACTGGGAGAGCCACTAAGTGAAACTGATTAGATACTGATTGGAAACAAAGTGAAACTGACTAATATTTTTTTTTTTTTTTTAACACTTCACTCAGGGTGAAGAATGAAAAAAACAGCAGCATTAGCAATGAAAGTGAAGGGACTCTTAAAAAATTCTTTCCATTTTAAGAATCTCAGAGGTCCTATTAACACAGGTGAGGACATTTCTTTTAAAATACCCTGATTCACTGCTATGCTACTCCAGTTTTACAGTGATGTAACTCTACTGAAAACAAATCAATGGAGCTAAACCTGCATAAAATTGGAGCAAATAAATGGTAAATGAGGTCCATTAATTTTAACCTAAGTAGCCCTTAAATATCTCCAGTGATAGGGTAAAACATAAGGCAAAAGGAAAATTTGTCAATCATTTTAGGGCCAGGGCATGTCAAAACAGCATTACCAGAACCTGGTGTTTATTGATGATCTTAAAATGTGGTTAAAATCAGAAAAAGTAGGCCAAAATCTGCTCTCAATCCCTGAAGCTGCTCCAGCTTTAGAATACCGTCAGTTACACATTCATTCCAGATTTACACCAGGATAAATTTAGGGACTAATCCAAAGCCACTAAATTATTGGAAAGCCTCCCGATGACTTCAAAGGGCTTTGGATCAAGCCCTCAGAGCAGAATTTAATGCGGTGACACTGCAAGGTTCCATATTTCTTCTCCCTTAATGACTCTTCTAGAGTAAATTTGCTCAGCTAGACATCAAAACACTAGTCTTTGCCAATCATGCAAACTCAGCCTCTTCTCTTAAAACCAAGCTGTGTTCTTTCCACTTTACCCCTCATCACCAACAAATTCTGAAATCAGCAGTTAGGTAGTAGTTTTTGATGAGACGTGACAGAATAGAAAGCATCTCTTCTGTTACCTTCCTAGGGTGGCTCTGAAGCGCTAGTGAAACACTGACTGTGTCCGTAAACTAAACATGTATTACCAAGAAGAAACATCAACAAACTATAAAGTGTGCAACATGGTGTCATTTTTATAGCTATTTTTCAGCCCATAACAATGCTATGAAGGTGAACTGAAAAGCTTTTATAAATGAATTATAATGATAAAAACCCACCAACAACTCAGACTGCCCAAGTTGTTAACAGCTAAATTCATGCAGAACTGATGAGGGAAATCAATGGCTCTTGCATATAAATAACCAGAAGCAGAATTTGGCCATAAACCAGTAACAGACTATGAATTTTCAGAACACAGGAATTGCCATACCAGATCAGACCAGTGATCCATCTATCACATTATCTTGCCTCTCACAGTGGCCAATGCTAGATGCTTCAGAGGAAGGTATAAGAACCCCCCAGTAAATAATTATGAGTAACATGCTGATAAGGGAGGTTTTTCCCTAAATCCTATCAGTAAGTGGTTAGTTTTATCCTGAAGCTTGAGTATTCATTGCCCTATATTTCTGTTTTCGTCCTGTCTCACATAACTTGATTTTTGATTATCTATAAAAATGACTAAACCCTTTATTTCATTATTATTATTATTATTACACTAAATTCTTATAGTCAGTAATGTATTGTGGCAGTAAGTTCCATAGGTTCATTATACATTGTGGGGGTAGGGATGGGGGGGAGCATTTTCCTTTATCAGTTTTTCATTTGTTGCCTTTCAAATTTCACAAATGTTCCTTGTTCTTCTATTGTGAGTGAGGGTAAACAGGAGCAGCTGTTTTATCTTCTCTATGACATTCATGTTTTTATATATGCCTATCATCTCTTCACTTATTTGTCTCTTTTCTGTGGGCCAAATCTTGTCACCTTTACTCACACTGAGTAGCACATCAGTCTGCAAGTAATGCCACTGAAGTCAACATGACCACTTATGGAACAAGGTACTAGTCCGTGAGCACCCCTCCAGCCTAACCAGGCCTCATGGGGAGGGGGCGTCGTAGGGAGGGGCAATCCAGCTCTACATCACCATCCCTCAAAATTCCCAACATAGGGGGAATGGCTGGAGCACCTCTGTGCTCCACCAAGCCCCCACTGGCTTAACTGTCCCCTGTGGACCATTACCAGTCAGTGTAACTGAGAGCAACCCCGAGGTTGCTGTGTGTCATATTATTACATCCTTCCCATGCCAATGTTGGTGCACAGGGCAGAAACTAGCTTCTTCCAACCCTCTCAGCCATTAGCTGTTGCTTCCATCTGCTCTGTGGTGTTGAGATTACGGTTCTGCCATCCCTGCTAAGGCTTCTTCTTAATGTTTCTATTGAGTGCCCTTGTTTCCTCATACCACTTGGTTTCCACTTGCTCTCAGCTTCCCGTGGGAGTCTGTGTTGGCATGTGGGATACCTGCACCAATATGTCCAGCGCTTTCTTCTGATTCTGGTGGAAACACGCTGCTGGTTACATCTCTTCACTGGTGATAAACTCTCTCCATCCAATACCCAGAAGCCAGGGGGCTGGCTTCCTCCTTTCCCCAGGAATGCTCAACCACTGCTCAACCCCAGGCTGTAACCCCACTCCACATGCCTTGAGTTTAGTGAAAGCTGTGGAGGCCTTTCCTATCCTTGATTTCACTTCTTTCTTGAGATCTCTGTTGTGCTTGGGGCCAAGTTGGTCCTAAGATCAGGGAAGCGCAAAGGTGACAAAGGCATTTTTTGCCCTTCCCTTCAGGTTCTCTGTTGGACAGAGTTTGGTTAAACCCATGGGTCAGGGCCATGTTTTATTACTGGATTAGGAGCTTACATTTACATTTAATTTGTTTTTAAAGCTTTTCAGATCATCTTTAAGCACTGTTTAAAGAGAGGCGAGAGAATATATATATATATATATATATATATATATATATATATATACACACACACACACACACACACACGTGTGCTCGCATGCATGTACACAGGAACACAGGAGAAAACCGATTATTGATTTGCAAGACAAAAGCCACAGCGACACCATCACGTTTCATTTCTGTAATTTGGAGTTTTCAGTGAAGAATCCGATTTCATCATTCAGTTCTGTGAATCACAGAAATAAGAGCTGAAAAAGGCCTGCATTTCATCAAATCCATCTCTCTGCCAGTGCAAGATTCTTCCCTACAGAGTATACTCCTTTCCCTTTGCCAGCTCAATTTTAAATGAATCAAGCAACTGGACTTTCACTACTCTCCTTAAGACACTGTTTCACAATCAAACAGACGCTGTTGTTAGGAAATCTTTCCTGGCGTGTGCAGAGGTAACTTACTGCAGCCATGGAGTTGATGCGGTCAATATAGTAATCCGGCCAGCTGGTAGCAAGCTTATTAGGGTCTTCTTGTTCCTGAAACAGAAAATTAAACAAAGTTACATGAGCAGGCTTAAAGGATAAATAGTTTTCATTTGGTTGAAATCATCTGGAATTCTTGACCATCTTACTTCCTACCCATTTCCTTATAACACACACATCTTTATGGATTTTATTACAAACCTCTTTGAAGGTATAGTGCTAAAGGTATCCTTGTGATGGCAGAGAAGGAAAGATCATCCTTCAAATAGGATTACTGAAAACAGCATTACAGAACTGACTGAGACAAGGTTGTCCTTCGGTGGCCAAATGACAATACTCCCCTCCTCACAGTATGCTGACAATGCTTGCACTCAAAGGACAGAGCCTTCAGGGATAACTCAGTTACATTTTCAAGTCTTACATTTAACAGATTTTAGAAAATATTTTGCATTATTTCTGCTAATTGGATGGGCGAGATTCACCAACTACAGAGAAAAATGCCAAGTCAAAAAGTCTGGAAATAGGCCAAATGACTGCTTCTTAGGAAGTTAAGCACAACCTCAAAGCATCCAGATGAACAAAACTGGAATCTGTGAATTACAGTGAAAGCTGCATCAAAGACCACCTCCGAGCGCAGTGTTAATAATTTTAAAGTATCTCCATACATTTTGCAATTAAACTCACCTTTCAGTTAAAGGCCTACCTCTGCTGGGCAACCACATTTTACTGGTTCTTTGGGTGGTCACTTGAGAGGTTTCACTGCATCAGATTTTATTTTACTTTACTTTGTGAAGAGGCTAGGCAGATAGACTAGAAACCAGTAAGAAAATAACTATTGGTTTCTGGAGCCCTAATCTCCTACCACAAGATGTAAGTAGCTTACATTAAAATCAATTGAAGTTCTATCTTGTGGTTGAAGAACTGTGTCCCTTGGAGTTATACTAAAGATGGATGAACAGAGATTATCTTTCTGTCTGTCTCACTAATCTTCCTGACATTCTATTGTCCTGTATGTATAAACAATTATTCATATCAACAGACTTAGCTTGTAAAAGTTATACAGATGAACATCAAATAGCCAGATCTTTATCAGATCGCATCAACTCTTTTAGTGCTGCTACATATTTATGTTGTTTGGAGAGAAGAAATATTTCTACACGTCCCCAAACTGGCCTGCCTTCAAAAGAACCTTAATACTTGTCAAGCTCCTTTCAGGTTAAAATTAAATAATAGCATACACTGTAACAAATCCATGGAAAATGTCAGGCTTCAAATTTGGAATTCACAGCAACAGCAGGGGTAAAACTCAGATCTTCCTGCTCCAAGACCACAGGCTTCTATCACTTGAACTAAAGGAGAACCTCAATTAGCTGTTAGCAGTATACAGCCAATGACATAATAGAACAGTTCTGCTTCTAGCCAGTAGAGGGCAGTGGTACATATACCTACCAAGCCAGTTCATTACAATACCTACCTCTAGCTATACATAAAGCCTGAGAGGCTGTCAAAATGGCAAGAGGCATCAAATGCATTGCCTAGTTCCACAATTTATCACATATATACCACCTCCCCATCAGTGGGGTGTGTGGAAATTCATGCCACACATGCACACTTTTCCAGTGCATGTTGGAAAGCCTTTGTTTTCCTTCTCTCCCTTTCCCTGATGAAAGCAGTAGGCTGATAGAGCTAAATCCTTGCTTACCAACAGATCCGGAGCTATATGGCTCCCCATAAGTAATCAGCTAGATTTCTACACCTCATTTCATTGCAGACTGCCTTTTAACACCTACTCTCTACTAGATGCTGACAACTGTTTTGCACACAGCAGGCCTTAACCTCCTATCCAAGAGTCAAAATATGACCTTGCTGAAGGAAAAAACAATACAAAAACATGCAGTTGATAAATACAGCATTATTTTTAGAAAATAATCTTATCATGACCTGAGTAGCACAGGGGAGAAAGAGAGCTAATCTAGTGCTAGTTAAATAAAGGCCATTCCACTGGGCATCATGACATATACAGCAACCTATTTGTAAAGGGACATCAGGCCAAGACACCAATCTGCAGTGCAAGGTGCCTTGATCGGTCTTCCTGGAAGTTTCCTGTGTAAAGGAGTCTGAAAGAGCGAGTGACCTGTGCTACAGTTGTTTCCTAAATAAATGGGACAGTAAGTCTGTGAGAACAATATACACAGCATCTCCTTTGCCTATTCATTGAACCCCAGGCTAAGGAAGAGGAAACAAATTCAGATAAAGTGACAACCATTCTCCAAATCTCAAAGAATCCGAGTAAAAAAAATCTAAGATTCTTAAAAAAGCAGAAGTGTTAGAATACCGTGAGAAATCCTGCTCTTACTAGATTTCCAGCCCAAACAATAGGCTAAAAGGGTTTAAGATAGGAAAAGCATCCAAATACTTGAATAATTTCCTATCTGAACCCCTGAAGCTTTGGGGGTTTGACCAGTTGTATTAAAAGATCAAGAACTCTGACCTTCCTAAGGTAGGATTCTGTATTTTTGGTTGGCTGAGCAGATGAAGGTGTAGTCATTTTACTCTGTGATTTACTGTTTCCCTCCCACTACTTTCTACCCTTCTATATCCAGCATACATTGTGGTCCTAACCCTGAGATCAAAGCTTAATGCCTCTTCTAAGACCATCCTGCTGCTTTTGAGCAAGGGCTGGGTGAGAACTGGTTTGGATGAAATAAACATTGATCTGAGGTTCAAAAAAAGTTTGGTTACATTTGTGTGTGTGAGAGAGATTGCATTTTCTGGTTCTGGTTTTGACCAAAAACCAAAGGTCCAAAATCCCATAAGGAAAGCTGTTCTGTTTATGGGCCTAATCTTAAGAGGAATTCCTCAGTCCTTATTCAGACAAAATTTTCATTGAAATCAATGACTGTTTTGCTTGGAAAAGGTCAAAATCTAGCCCTCTATTTCTGAAGTAGCTGAAAGCCAGTTCTTGCAAAAACTACTTTTGCAAACTCAAGAGGTCTGGATAAGCATGCGGATGTTTATCTGAACTCCCAAAACATTGGTTGGTCCATCACTAATTTTAGCCAGCCACCTGGAGAACATTTTCAAAGCATCAGTTTCTGACGTGAGATACCCAAGATCACACAGATTTACATCAGCCTCAGGAGCAGTACCATGATATATTACAATTGGAGACACTGGGGAAGATGGTTCATTGCCCAGGTGATGCAAAAGTTCTCCGCAGTATGAAATCACAGCACCACACTTCTTCTCAGACAGCAGAATCTAAAATACTTTGGATTTCTTAAAGACCATCGAGATTCTGATCCTCAAATAAAACATTTCAAATTGCCTCTCAGCAACTTGCACTGATGTTGATGACAAAATCCTCTTCTTCCTCCAGAACATGCAGAAGGAAAAAAGTAGGGCCTGATACCCAAAGCCACATAGGCGTCAATAACTGGAAACAATTACCCAGCTGTCTGAAGCAAAATGTCAGCCAAAGGAATCTATTAAAGCAAAGCCACCTTTTAGCTCCTTGAGTAGTGTAAATATTACATTAAAAAATAGACGTCAGTCAGTGGGCTTCAGAAGCAACCATGTCATTCTTCACCAGAGCAACTGCTATGTAACTACTGTGAAAACACAGCCCTGATATCATACAAGCCTGTAATAAAGTCAAGGTATTATATAGGCATTGAAGCTAATTTGGACTGAGTCCATCCCCATGGCGGAAACTGGGACTTTTGAGTTGAACAACTTCATCTAACATAAGATTTAATGGAATATTTCAAATACTTGGAATATTTGAACCAACTGCAAAAATAAAACTAAACAAAATATTCTAGCCACAGTTCATTTGATCCTGCAGGCCTTTTACAGAGTTCTTGGGGAATCAATGCACTATACAGTCTTCATGGACACATTCTCTTCAATGGCACAAAGACATTTGTTGGCATCAACTCCTAGTGTGAAAGACATGCGCAATAGAAAAAACCCACCATGCCTGTAAGTACATCATTCCCCTCTGCTGGTGGTCCTTTGTAGAGAAGCACTCAAACACTAAGGTGATGGGTGCCGTATAAATGGGTAAGAGATTGAATAGGCCCTGAAGATTAAATGCCTAGGTTATCTGACAAATGTCTTTCAGGAGAGGGTTGAGTCATTTGGGAGAAGACTTAACAGCAGCTGCCAGCACTGTATCTTTTTTGCGGTTAAGCACTCGACTTCAGCATCCGGAGCTGTCGATCTGAAATTATACACTAAACACCAAATATACTCACAACAAAACATAGTATTTCTCCAGAGTATCTCCTTAGTATCCAAGCACTTCCCAGACATGAATGGATTTATCCTCACGCTACCCTTAGGAGGTAGGAGTGATTTACCCCAATTTTACAAATGGGTAGAGAGGGACAAGAAGAAAAGTTGACGTGACAATCCAAACTCACCCAGGAAGTCAGTGGCACAGCTGGGAATAGAATTCTGATCACTTGATTCCCAGGCCATTGCCCTTACAAGACTATCTTTCCTCTCCTATTACACTGACCTGATTTTCAGAGGTTCTGGAAACTCTCAGCTCCTTGGGAACTGCAGATGCTCAGCATCTCAGCAAATCAGGCCATGTGCACACTGGACCATGTCACCATTTAACCACACTTCAGGTGTAAATATCCTGTACTGATGAGTCATGCTGTCTTACGACACAGACTAAGGTACTGTTTGCCACTTACACAGCTGTCCAAAACACTTAAGCACACTTCCTGATAAGTGGAAGTAACAGACTACCTTTATCTGCTGAACTCCTTCCCCCAGTCCATTTGGTTGATAAGCATTATTTAAAGCAGCAGCAGGACAGGCAACTTACATAATGCCATCGAGTTTGGGTTTAAAATCTTTTTCACAAGTCCCTTATTCTGTGTAGTGAATTCTGGTTGACCTCAGTAGAAACAGCATACAAAACAGATGGAAGAGAAGAAATCCAAATGGGCAAACACATGAGATAAACTTTTCATTCCTATTTACTTATTGTAATCTGCAAGTAAGAGCAAACTGGTGCTTGGAATCAGTGTAAATCT